CAGGTACGACAGTTAAATCAAAGCCGCTTGGTATAATATAGAAGGTGTAAAATTGCAGTACATGTATTAATTTGCAGTAGCGTGTGTTATCTCATGATGGTTTTGTTGACATTGTATCCTAGTTGGTGTCATCAGAAGACTAGATAGGAACTAGTTTTGTACCTTTTTTGTGACTTGGGTGACCACTTGCAATGAGTTAGTTTTCTGTATAGCTTCCCCAACTAGGTTCCATCTCATTTTTGGAATTGCTGCATCATTATGAAAGGGGCAATCTTTTGGTTCTCGATGACGAGTATAAAAATTTGACAACATATATGCGTCATTTGCATGAATATTACATGGGTCAAGCAACAGAGACGGAGGACTTTGGTTTTGAGGTTATTATCCGTTCGCCACATGTTTTTCATTATCCTGAAGAAGAGAAGTTCGATGTCGAGTGGGAGTGCTTGTTCCCGCTATATCAGAAATGCTCTCTCGATTCACAAATGTTGATGTTGTGGACTATGTAAGTACCCTACATGCACGATATTATAATTAACTACTCTCTCGAGACACAAATTGTTAACTTTTGAGCACTTTCCATGACTTTATGTGGGTGTATAGCAAAATTTTGCATACTAAAAAGTAAATGGGATAACATAGGCTTCTTGGACACCGGGCGAGTCAATGAGAAGACATGTTTAGGCCTCCATGAATGTGACGTGGAAGACCTGAAAGAGAGATTGATTGCTGTTTTCGATGAATTCAAGATGAAGAACAAAACCCACATACTTCTAACCTACAACTGTGAGTATGTGTTCTCGGCTTTTAATTTTATGCTTTTTTTTTGTTAAGATTATTCGATAATTAGGATTCTGTGATTGCAGCAACCATTTCGTCTTCATTTATGTCAATCTTGCTAAAAATCTGATCGAGGTGTGGGACTCGAAGAAAAAACTATTTCATCATCAGGATGCACCGGTGGCAGTGCTGAATTAGTAAGCGATCCTAATAACATATTATTTTCTAATCACACATACCGCTTTCTAATATTTCTTCTTTTAATGTTGCACAGTGCCCGAAGAAGATATATCGGTGGGATGCAAGTCCCATTCAAGGTTGTCGAAATGGAGGGGAAGTATCTAAAACAGCCGACAGGAAACAATGAATGCGGGTTTTATGTAATGTGGGCAATGCTTCGCTACATCGGCGGGAAATCGGAAGAAGCAGATAAGTTGGTGTGTATAATCCACATTTCATTTATGTCTATTAATAATTCAACAAAATGATTTACTGATTCCTCTTTGGATATCATCTTTTTTTAACGACAGCGCAAGAAATATAACCACGAAAGGCTGTTAGACATGGAGATCGTCGCACTGCAATCGGAACTGGCAAAATTCATCTTAGCCGAGGTATTGGAAAAAGATGGAGTATTTTCCATTGCACAATCCGTGAAGTTCAAGGACCAGTATGGCCCAGAGCGGCTCGCTAGATTATTGTAAGTCCGAGAAGCATGCTTCATCTTATCGAATAATTTCTTTTTTATTTTGAGTGATCGAGATGTTGATAAGAACATTTGAACTGTAACCGTGACATTTGTAATGTTTAATATTGATGGACCCGTTGTCTACGTAACGTATATAAAGCGAAACCCGATTCCACGAAAAAATATAAATTAAAATAAATTATAAAACAATAAAATGCGAACGGGCCATCACTGTCAGTTAGCAACAAAACGGCAGTGATGGCCAAGATGGTACTGCCGGCTTGAGCCATAAACCGGCAGCGTTGGCTTAGACATCACTGTCGGGTCTTGTCCCAAACTGGCAGTGCTGGTTACGACAACACTGCCGGCTAAAGACACAAACCGACAGTGATGTTCGAGGTTACACTGCCGGGTGGTCTCATGAACCGGCAGTGTTGGTGGAACTGAACTCTGCCGGGTTATATAAAGGACCGACAGTGAAGTTGCAGAACACTGTCGGTTTGTAGAAACCGACAGTGATAGCTAACCCTCATCACTGCCGGTTTGGTTGTGCCGGTTCAAAATCTGGCAGTGATGGGGTGTTTTGAACCGACAGTATTGTCCTGATCTGGGGTAGTGGTGGCCCAGACGACGAGGGACCGATACCCGGTTGGGCCGGGCAGAGAATCTCTCCCACAAGGACAGGTGGCGCTTGCTAGAATGTTGGGCCCCACCCAGGCTCAAGCAGCGGCTCCGGTGCACTGCCGACGTCCTGGTCGTCACCGCCGTTGTCGTCAACATCGCCATGACGATCAAGACGGAGTCGGCGTGGCCACGAACCAGAGCGACCATGGTTGCCACAAGCAGCACGACGGCAAGGACCGCGCCTTGGAGGCTTCCGCACCCTATCCGAGGAAAGGCGCGAGTGCGAACGACTGTGCTTGCAGTTCCTTGCCCGGTGCTCTGTGTTGAGGCAGAAAAGGCAGCGGGATGGGAAGGTGCACCAGGCGGCGATGTGGTCCCCAGCCAGATAGTTGAAACAGAGACCGACGAGCGAAGGTGGCACCGGCCGCTGGCGACGATGGTGGGGCGGGGCACGGCGACGCCAGCGTCGGCGGCTTTGCACAAGCGCGAAGCCGTCAGTGTCGACAGGCGCGCCCGCTCGAGGAACGTGACATCGAGGAAGCTATGAGCCGAGGTGCTGGTGCACGGGCACACACACAACCGGCCGGCTGTGGGCCGAGCCGCTGGTGCACGGGCGCCCTAGCAGCCAGGTGTGAGGGCGTCGCTGGAGGACCCTCGGTGTCCTTGGTTCTGGCTCGACGACGACGGTGGCACCGCCTCTTCTTGGTGATAACGACTGGACGCGAGGCAGAGCTCTCCCCTTCACACGGCACTGCAAGCATGGGTGAAGCCGTCACCTTGATGGCCCGGCGAGCGGCTTCTAGGTACGGCGACTAGGCAACAGAGGATGCACAGTCGAAATCGGAGTCCCCAGAGTCCTCCATCCAACGCAGAGCCTTGGATCTGCCCGCAAACTGCTTGGCTAGGAAGAAGGGTGTGGTGAGAGGAGACAGGGAGGAGCTCCAACCTGGCTGTGGGGAACTCACACGTCTCGACTCCGGCATCCACGCAAAGGGTGGTGCTCGCGGCCGTGAGACCCAGCATCTGTGGTGCCAGCGACAGGGAGGGAGTACGCGCAGCCATTGTTGAGGCCGCTTCGTTGTCATCATCTTCATCCTCGTCCTCGTCTTCCAAGACGTCTTCGACGATGACCAGTGACTCGTCCTCCGTCAGCTGCATCTCCTGTCTTGGCATCTGGCCGTGGCGGCGGAGGGGGCGAGGGGGTGCCAGACTCCAGTGAGGATGGCGCGGCCTCCACGGGCGGAGGTGAAGGCGGCGCGGCATCCACACTCAGCTGGGGCTCGAGCGCCTGGTGGTAGTCAGAGTGGGGGCCACCAGCGGCGGCAGTGTCGGGGAGGTGGAGGCCGGGGTTGTGGCCGCGGTAGTATAGCACGGCGCCGTCGGTGGCATGGACAGTGTGGCGGCAGCGGTGCCGGGGCGGAGACGAGCTGGGAGCCTTGCCGAACAACTCCGACGCACCCGTGGCTGGAACGGCAGGCGCCGGTGCCGGGGCGGAGACCGGCTCCGGCGGCGGCGGCGCAACCCTAGATCCAGGCTTGCCGGACTTGCCCGACGCAGAAGCTTGTGGGGCCGAGCACAGAGGGGCCAGAGGCCGAAGGCGCCGGTGTCGTTGCACCCGCCAGCGGGGGAGACCTCGCGGTGGCCGCCGCTGGCTGCGCCATCGACGGGGAGGAAGCGAGCATCCCTCGCATGGCTGAGTGGAGGAGGGTTGCTCGGGGGAAGGAGGGGGAGGGGGAGGGGGAGGGGGTGGCGGGCGTGGGAGGGGCGGGCGCCGGCGGCGGAGGCGGGGCTGGGGAGCCCGCCAGGAGGGGTCGGGTCGGGGGAGTCCAGACCAAGGTTTTCATTTTCGGAAATTAAAATTTATCGGGGGTCACAGATAAAGAGGATAAACATGAAATATCGGACCAAATTCAAATAAAATTTAATTTGAATTTAAGTAAATTTAAATAAATTTAAACAAAATTTGTACGAAAAAGATACATATTTTCTTATCGGTATCTACGGATAAAGAGGATATATCGGAAATATCAGGAAATTTCGGCCGATATTGGAAACCATGGTCCAGACAAGGATGCCATGGTCTAATTCTGACTCTAACATACAGTCTGATTGCTCTCTGCTTAATTGTCAGCATGCGTGCGCAGGCGTTGACAGTATGCCAGTATTAATTCAAATAACGACCGTTAATTCGTTTCTGCTGCTCAAACTTGGGTTGGGGTAGTGTGCACCTGCTCGGAGTGGGATCAGCCCATGGATCCACAGCACTTGTTGACTGACTGCGCATGCACACGCGTCGTCAACAGTGATGAGGAAGGACCAGCAGAAATCTTTGGTTAATACAATTATGACTGAATTTTCTGTGAATGCGTAGCAAATACTACAGCTGCTGAATGCTGATGGAAGAGAACGACCAAGTTAAAAAGGTTTATTTCAGTTTCAGAGGCGGTGTTTAGCTAGGTCTGGCCTTCCGGGCATCTTCTTGGACTATTTTTTTTTTATGGAACTGGGGGGGGGGGGGGGCGCTTGCGCCCTACAGATAAATTTATTGAAATTTAAAGGACAACAAGTTTACAGAAATTGAATAGGAAAAAAATCTCTACCACTACTTCTTGGACTATTAGTGCCTGTCCTGCTGTAACCATACTTTAGTGAGCTCACCTGCTCCCTGCTCAACGACCAATCTACCCACGGATTGCTATTGAGAATTCCACGCGATCTGGTAGTCTCGTCTGGTCCACAGCCAACCACCCACACGGCCACACCACACCAGGAGGCCGCACCTGCACTGCATACATAAGCTCGTCGAGAGCTGCCATGGATGAGTTAACATACATACATACATTCACTCTCGCACCTCCATCGGTCCATCCATATATATCCAGCAAGAAGAAGAAGAGAGGCCCGGTGGATGGCTTGCGTGGCGGACCGTGAGGCTGCGGTGAGGGAGGTGGCGCAGGTGTACGAGCTCATCAAGCTCCAGCAGCCTCTCCTCCTCAACTGCTCCTCCTCGTCGCCGCCGTCGACCCAGCTCGCGCAGAGCCTCCTCAGCAAGGCGCTGCGAGCCCTCAACGTCGCCCTCTCCGTCATGAAGCAGCAGCAGCAGCAGCAACCTGTTGTCGCCGTCAAAGCTGAGCCTCACCTCTCGCCGCCCAGCCCAGCGTCTGCCGATTCCGAAGCCATAGCACCCAGCACGGCAACAAGAGGCGCCAAAAGAAGAAGGTGTGTTATACTTATGTTTATGTGTGCATGCGCCACTGCTGGACCCACTTAAGCTGTTCTCTGTGCAGCACTGCAGTTAATCTCTTCAACTCGTTCACTGACTGTTGCTTCCAATCGAAATTGCTGCGTCTGCGTGCAGATCATCAGTAGCAATGGAAGGGAAGAAGAAGACCTCGTCATGGGAGACCTTAACCGCCGTGCCCTACGACGACGGCTACCAGTGGAGGAAATACGGCGAGAAGAAGATCAACGGGACGCTCTTCACGAGGAGCTACTTCCGGTGCACCTACAAGCAGGACGACGGCGGCTGCCTGGCCACCAAGCACGTCCAGCAGATAGACAACGACAGCTACCCGCCCATGTTCCAAGTCACCTACAACAACCACCACACCTGCAGCAGTGCCAAAGCTACTGCACCCAACAACAACACCGGCAGCAGCAGCAACCTCGCTGCATTGCTAGCAGGCTGCGGCAGCAGCAAGGGACTGACGACGACCAATGCTCGGCCAACTGGGCATGCTACTGCTGCTGCCATGAACATGAAGCAAGAAGAACCACCGCTGCTGCTGCTGCCTCCACGGGTCGAGCCTCCTGCCTGCTTTCCTTATGATGACCAAACGATGCCACAGTGCCAAGAGCCGCTGTTTCCTACAAGTATGGAGCAGCAGTTCGTCTGTGATGCTTTAAGAGACCACGACTCTCCTGTCGATGGAGGAATCCCGTCGGCTAGTACTGGTTCGTGCATCTCCGGCGAGACCAGCTGGTGGGATGGGTATTCTGGGGACATGGCGGCGCAGATGGCAGCTGAAGACGACCCTCTCCACGACCTCGACCGCTTCCTCCAGTGCGATAGCTTCATGGACTACCAGTACTAACTAGCTCCGCAACCTAGATAATTAACAGGATTTATGAAAGTAGAAGTATAGTTTGATCTTCCTTTTTTGTTTTTTTAGGGCGGTAGTAGTGCCAATAATGCAGTGTTTTGTAGGGAAAAGATCGTTTAGCGGTTTATGTAATGATGAGATGTAAAATAGGATCAGTGCATGTGAGATGTAAAACAACGATAATTTGATATGTGGTCGGGACCTTATGTTTTGGTTTGCAGATGCTTAACTGTTTAAGCACTCTATTATGATCCTTGGAGAGAGGTGCCTAAGGTTTAAATTCAAGTAGTGGGCTAAGCTATTTTATTAGTGGTGACCTTGTTCAATCAAAATCTATAAAAAGCTATAGTAGGATATAGCAGTGGATATTCACGAACTAACAAAATTTCAAGGACACAATACTCAAATACATGTCTAGGGCTTCAGGATAACATGTCTCCAAGTCCATTATATCACAACTGTTTAATTAACCACTATAATCCGTAATTAACATTCATTTCACTCTGCATTCAATAGTAAACAACTTAAGAATTATTCAATGGTTCGTTACATCATTTTATTAAGTAAAGAACGTAATGGAGAGTCATAGATTCTAGTCATCTTGAGGAAAGAATGAATATTTACCTCAGTAAAGATTAGCGGAGCTAAAAACATTTTGTGGCTTAGCCAAATAACGATGTTTAATGGAGCTAAAACATTTGTAGCTACAGCAGCGCAACAATTGACAATATCCGAGCAGTATACCTCTAAAAATGCTGGAGGTACCATAATTACAACTTAAGATTTGGTATCTAGGACAGACCAAGTTATAACTGATTGTACCTCTCGATGGTAAAATCAGCCTAGTTGTAAGCACTCTTATGGTCCTTAGCGAAGGCAATGACATTGGGGTCGTCGAGTCCCTAAAATTGTAGTAGAGAGATTCATGACCTTCAAATTCCCCTCTAATTTTGGTGAGATTCATGACCTTCCAGCTAGAATTTTGGATATTCACACCCTTACCTTCAGTATTTCTCTTCAATTTGAGATTCGGGGATTTTGGACAGCCAGGAGTGGGGGTTTTGGGTTTCATGGGATGATTGATGGAAGAATATCGGTGTGGCATTCAATGTGTGGAGTGGGGCAGTGGTCTAGGAGCCATCAGTTAGCAATCCTAATGCAAGGGAGGATAGCCGGTAGGGAAGGTTGGGACCGGAAAACTCAATCTGATGAGTTAGAGCACCTTCACCAGATTAAGAAAAACAATATTCTTTTTTTTAAAACATGTCATATAGGGAAATAGATAAAAAAAAACTCACCACAGTATCTACTTTCCCTAAAAAAATTTCAATCCCTCAAAAAACTCCCTCATTCCCTCAAACAAAGGGGATTCTCCTCCGTCCCCTTTCCCTTTTGTTCATCCGTTAATCTCCAGCGCATCCGACTTCCGTGCCACTTGACGCACAGCTGGCTGCCGAGATCCACTGCTGGAGGCCACCACAAGGCTAGCTGTCGACTGATATTGGCCCTCCATAGCCCTGCTAGTGTTCCCTAACATCACGCCACCACATCAGTCTCGCCCCCATGAGCAGCGCCGATAAGTAGAGAGCAACACGCCCTAAGTCATCGAGCAGACCAACGCCACCACGTGGCACCTCCATACGGAGCTACGGGTAGGCTACCGCCACCGCCTTGTGCCAGCCTTGCATGCCGAGCCACGGGAGAGGGAGAAGATGGAGAGAGCCATGCCATAGCAAAGGGAGAAGCTATTGTCGTGCTGGGGAAGGCTCAACACCCTACGGTGGGGAAGGTTGCCGCACCCGGTGCTTTGTGCTACCCCATTCCCTACGAGGTGCCACGCTATGGTAGGACCATCCAATTTAACCTAATTCCAAGTGTACTTGTCAGCTATTTGACACTAAGCACTACACAAGAGATCAAGTTAAACCCGATAGTATGTCAAGCATACCCGAAGGTAGAACTCAAAATCAATGTTTTTATCATGATCATAAATAAGTGAATAAATCTCACAACATAAACCATTTCATACACCACAAGGTTGCAAAATTAGAATTATTACAGAACAAATTTCATAAAAGAAATAGAAGAAATGTCATTTTATATATACAAAAGCAGCCGAAGTTAAAAAAATTTAATATTAAAGTAGAGGTAGAGGTATAAGAGTAAAACTACTACAATTGCAACGAAAGGATTCCTCGCTGAGCACACTAGAAGGTATCCGCACACAACATCAATTAGCTCCGGCATCCACCTACTACCTGCAACAGGGGTGAAAGCATCTAGGCCCCTAGTTGGGTTTCGGTGATTAATGACAATACAAGATTACTATGACTAACGTGTATTTTGTAGAGGCAATTAAGTTAGGTCACGGTAATGGAGATCGATTGGGCAATCATGGTGGTCATGCCCCTACGATGGAAATCGTTTCGGTTTTCAAATGATGGACGACAAGGTTAAGGATGGACTAGTTCTAAGTGTCGATTAGAGTTGGAGAGACACTTAGAGTAGTTTAGGACTTTGTTTTTCCTTTGGCCATACTATTAAGGGGGGTATGGACGGGTAGCTAGACCTAGGTGAGTCTAGTGAGTTAGGTGTGGTCCACACTTGTTAAAACTAGCACTAGGTAGCTCCAAAATAGCCCTTAGATCCAATGGAGCAAACTTCATTCACATATGATCGAGAGTTGGAAGTGAATGGAGGGTCAAATACTGACTGGACGCTGAGAGATGAAGTGACCGGACGCTGAGGGCCAGCATCCGGTCGACTCCAGTAAGGTTCTAGAGAGGGAAAATCTCGACCGAACGTGTCCGGTCAGTGCTGACCGGACGCTGGCCAACGTCCGGTCACACTTTAAACACTGGAGTTCGGGGTGTACTGACCGGAGCGTCCGGTCAACATGACCGGAGCGTGCGGTCACCCCGCAGAGGCACATAACGATTTGTTTTTAGCCCATGTTATAAATACCACCTCCACTAGTATGTGGGGTACTTTTGCTCATTCCAACAGCTGAGAAACACCTTAGAGAGTGCCAAGAAGAGCAAGGTCCTAGCGAGATGATTGAGATTTGAGAATCCCAAAGAGAGCTCTCATTAGTGAGATCAAGAGTAGCAAAGTGTGCATCCACCCTTCTCATTAGGCTTATCGTGGTCAAGGGAGAGTTCGTGCTTGTTACTCTTGGTGATCGCCATCACCTAGACGGCTTGGTGGTGATTGGGAGCTTGGTGATCATCCGGAGAGCTTGTGGATGACCCAACTCAAGTTGTGAGCAGTTGTGGGTGATTCACCACGACGGAGTGTCAAAGAATCAACCCGTAGAGAGCACTTGATCCTTGCGCGGATCAAGGGGGAGCTACACCCTTGCGCGGGTGCTCCAACGAGGACTAGTGGGGAGTGGTGACTCTCCGATACCTCGGCAAAACATCGCCGCGTTCCTCCTTCTCTATTTACTTTGAGCATTTACTTTGAGCAATTCAATTCTTGTTTTTACATTCATAAAATTACCATGCTAGAGTAGGATTGGAACTTAGGTTGAAAGTCTTTTGTGCGGTAGAATAACTAGAAACACTTTCTAGGCACAAGGGGTTAATTGGGCTAACCATAGGATTTAATTATTGCAAAGAAATTTATAATTAGCCCAATTCACCCCTCCCTCCCCCTCTTGGGCATCTTGATCCTTTCAATTGGTATCAGAGCCTCGTGCTCACATATTTAGGCTTAACCGCCTAGAGAAAGATGTCTCACGGGGATGGACCTCCTCCTATCTTTGAAGGGGACGATTTTCCTTATTGGAAAATTCGCATGGAGGCGTACTGAGAAGCTCTAGATGTTGGAATACTTAGAGCCGTCTCACAAGGCTTCCCAAAATCTAAGGATGCTACACATTTACAAGGCGATGAGTTGAATTACAAAAAATAGAATGCAAAGGCTAGAAACACTATATTTAGAGGCCATTGTAAAGATGTGTTCAACCGGGTAAGGAACCACAAAGACGCCCATGCACTATAGTCGAACGTTTGTGCGCTCCATGAGGGAACAAAGAGTGAGTGTGAGGAACGCTATCATCTTGTCATGAAAAAGCTTAACTCTTTTGAAATGCTTCCTAAAGAATGTGCTAATAAAATGTATTCTCATTTGAATGTTCTTGTAGAGGAGGTCAATGGGCTTGGACTCACTCAAATGCAACCATCCGATGTTGTAAGAAAGATCTTGAGTGTCCTCCCCATTGACAAATATGGGCATATTGTGACCGTGCTTCATCAAGGTGATCTTTCCACCGCTACACCGACACAAATCTTGGGAAAGATCAATGCTCATGAGATTTACATGCACATCGCACCTCAAGATGGCTCATCCTCTACAAAGAAGAAAGAAAAAAACTTAGCATTCAAAGCTAGCCAAGAGAAGGACAAAGCAAGGCTTGAGTATGAGAGCTCAAGTGATGATGAAGTTAATAATGCAAGCCTTGCTCTCATAGTGAAGAAAACCACCAAGATGCTAAAGAAGCTCAACAAGAGTGGCATCAAGTTCGATGGCAAGAAGAAGTTCTTCACAAGCTCTAGAAGGAAGCCAATCTCTAAGATGGATTGCTACAATTGTGGAGAACTTGGTCATCTAGCTCACCAATGCACAAAGCCCAAGAAAGACAAGTTCAAGAACAAGAACAAGGGCAAGAAAGATGACTCAAGTGATGAAGATGAGAAGAAGAAAGACAAGCCATACAAGAAGAGAGATGGCAAGAAGGACTTCAACAAGAAGAAGAAGAGTGGAAAGGCTTACATCATCGGTGATTGGCTCACGGACATTGATTTATCTAGTGGATCATCCGATGATGATAGTGACAACGAGATGGTGGCCGCCATTGTTATTGACTCATCATCTTCACCGCCACCACTGCCATCATCCTCTACACACCTATGCCTTATGGCCAAGGGTGAACGCAAGGTATCAAATGATGATGATAGTAGTGGTGATGAACATGCTAGTAATGATGA